ACAACTTCCTGAAATGTCGCTACCTGGATATGGTTAGTAGCACGAACTACACCCAACTCCCTGAAATGTCTTTACCTGGATACGGCTAGTAGCACGAACTACACCCAACTCCCTGAAATGTCTTTACCTGGATACGGTCATTAGCACGAACTACACCCAACACCCTGAAATGTCTTTACCTGGATACGGCTAGTAGCACCAACTACACCCAACTCCCTGAAATGTCGCTACCTGGATACGGCTAGTAGAACAAACTACTGCTAACTCCCTGAAATGTCTTTACCTGGATACGGCTAGTAGAACAAACTACTGCTAACTCACTGAAATGTCTTTACCTGGATACGGCTAGTAGCACCAACTTCACACAACTTCCTGAAATGTCGCTACCTGGACACGGTTAGTAACACGAACTACTGCCAACTCCCTGAAATGTCTTTACCTGGATACGGCTAGTAACACGAACTACTGCCAACTCCCTGAAATGTCTTTACCTGGATACGGCTAGTAGAACAAACTACTGCCAACTCCCTGAAATGTCGCTACCTGGATACAGCTAGTAGCACGAACTACACCCAACTTCCTGAAATGTCGCTACCTGAATACGGCTAGTAGCACGAACTACTGCCAACTCCCTGAAATGTCTTTACTTATACGGCTAGTATCACGAACTACTGCCAACTCCCTGAAATGTCTTTACCTGGATACGGCTAGTTACACGAACTACACCCAACTCCCTGAAATGTCTTAAGTCTGGACACGGTAGGAGCATGGAAACAGCAGAAAAGATTCATTTCCTCAACTGATGGTGGGTTTTTTTCATTCTACCTAATAGGAAATCTCGCCGTTTACCGATAGTCAGCTTAAAACCCTACATTAATTATTTGAACCATTTGACATACATGTCGTATGGTAAGGCGGTGTGTCGCGCAACACTATTGGGTTCCTTCGCCAAAGGTCAAGGTCACAAGGATGTCAAAGTTAAAATTAATTTCCCGGACAATAACTTCTGATTCTCTGAAGATATCACAATGAAATGCGTTGGCTATGTGTTGGACAGCTGGGCGATGTGTTGCATAGAACTATAGTCTCTTGTTATACTGGTTTGTACATAATTTTATGAAAAATTGACCGCCATATGCTTAAAATTTGTCCATGCTGAAGGAATAAATGGTCTCGAAAGATTTGAGTTTTTGCTGTTTTGTTGTATTGTAAACTGGCATGTGTAGCTATATCAATTACAGCACAAACTATGATAAAACATGTTCAATTCACACAGTCTTTTATTTTCAGCGAAAATACTACAAAATATTCTCATAAAAAAAGAACAATTCTAAAATTCAGCGGGAGCAATCTTCTTCAAGACTCTGACTGCCTTCAATACTTCCAAAAACAGAAAAGTCACTGTCCTGCGCCTGTGCACTGGACTTAGATCTTGCAGCGAGTTCCCGTGTTCGTCTCCGTTTAGCGCCGCTACGTCTTCGCTTGTTTTTCTTGATGCCCTCAATCTAAAATCAATGGTTAATAGAGTTTTTTTCGAATATTTTCAAAAACATAACATTTCCGTGCAGTGATTCCATTTTTCATGTTACTGAGGGCCGAAATCCTAAGAACTTTTGTGTGACTTATATAGATGACAAAGGAGATTTTGCCAAAAATTGCCATTTTACACCATGCTGGGTTAATAAATATATTTATTACATTTTTGCCAGGGAAATATCGGATTCTATCAACTTGATAAAACAGATATCTTTCACACTGTGACAAATATCACTTTTTAGTATTGACCAATCATAACGGTATCTTCTATTCGCTGCATTCAAAGGCAATGATATTTTGTTCAGATTCAAATGAAGCGATGGTAAAATAAGTGGTTGTTATGGTAAATGTTTGGTACACAAACTTAAGTATTTACATTTATCACATACCTGTTGAATGTAATTATAGTAATACAAGCAATTTTCAGACCATGAAATACAACGTTCTGTATTGCACATGTGCAATAAGGAATATTGTATTTGCCTACTAGCCGGAACTACTTTTTATGGGAATCCCCTTCTCATGGCGAACTGAGAGGTTTCGGGTATTTGCAAAAAATATCAAAGTCTATAAAATATTTGTATCGATCCCTGCCAAATACGGAAGGTATGTGATAAAAGCAAGACCACACACTTGTGTTTTTCTAACGAATCAGAAAGCACTCATTTATTGCGCGGACGTATATATTTACTCGTGAATAGATATTCGTCCGCGCAATAAACTCTTTCTGATTCGTTAGAAAAACACAAGTGTGTGGTCTTGCAAATATATATATACCAGTAACGACTCGTGTGGCTAATATTTTGATATTTTTCACTCGTGCTGCGCACTCGAGAAAAATATCAAAACATTAGCCACACTCGTGAAATATATTTGTTATTACTGAAGAAACCATTAAATATCCTCTATAGCATTCCTCAAAACATTGGTATATATCCATTATACAACAAGTGCGTTATCCTTTAAATAGATATTGCTCCGTATCTAAAATAGGAAATATATTTCTCCCATAACCAATAGAGGTTGCCTTACTCCCAATCCCAACGTATTGGATAAACCTGCTAGATGTTGGTACCCATTAGTTGGTACAATCTCCTAATTGCGACGTCATGTAACAATGCTTTGCAACGTCATCTTCCATTGTGACGTCATAGTTCATGATCAATCGGAAACAAGAAATAAATTGTGTTCCCAAGAGAGGCACATGGTTTTCAAGATATAATGTTTGAAAGTTGTGGGAGGAAAAGGTCCCCAAACACGTGGTGGTTGATTATCACGTTTATCTAACTTAAACTTTATAAAATTTAAAAATTAACTAACTTGAGTTAGATACGCACGAAAACCAGTCATTACTCGTTGGGGGACCACTATATACATCCTTGTTAAATACAGAAAGTGTTAAGCTTAATCTGACTAACCTCAGCCACGAGGGAATCACGTGACAACGTCATCTTCTCAAGCTCCAGTTTAGCTCTGCACAATAAAATATTGGCTCGCTCAAATTGATCTGGGGAAAAAAGAAAAAAGAAAAATAAACTATACAGATGTCATTGTACATTTTGTTGTGGTATTTGGACGGACTCTTGGTTATCTTAGATGTCATAATTTGCTCTGTTACTGGGGTGATCCAATTCTGAGACAACACTGGTGCTCTGTTAAACGGAAGGACTCGTAGCTGTTTAAATTACAGAGACCGTTATCAACTATCATTCGGTTGATAAGACGGACTCTTGCTCGTCTATGTTAAAGATCACAATTTGTTAAGGAAATTGGCTGGGTTTTTAGCGTCCTAATCTAGATGTCACAATTTGCTTTGTTAAAAGTGTGTCATTATGACCAAATATGTCGTAATTGCAAGATAACTATGTCGTGATGGGGACATACTAAGTTGTAATTACAAGATATAACGACGTCGTAATTTTGACAAACGAAGTGGTATTTACGTAATAACTCTGTCGGAATAACGACTTCGCATGGTACTGGCCGGCTTCCGTACAAAGTCGTACATCATTAAAAGGTTCCAAGTGGTGCTGTAAAATTCGGTGTCGTGAGGAGATAAACCCGATCTACTGAACACTGTTTATATAAGGTATAATTTGATGTATGGTTATGGTCCCACACGGAGAGGTTAGACAATACCAATAACACTATACGTACTAGTGTATCTGTCTTTCTGCTCTGCTCAAGTACATGATCTCACGAGGGCCTCATATATACATAAAATTACGTCGAGAAAAATTCACAATAAATTCATAAACCTTATATCGATACAAGTAATCGGACAGACGTCCCACAAATATCTAAACAGAAAGCATAGAATAAAAAATGACCTGAGCAATATGGTCAGAAATAAATATAGGAATAATAATAAACTGGGGTTTGATAAACCCATAATACGTAATATGGATGCATTGACAAACGAGGCTAGTATACCTGTGGGTGTACGGGGTCAGGGGATACCGGGATATTAATTGAAACGGCAAAAGATACAGCACTTATATTAAACATTACGTCTGGGCAGTAGAACGAGTCTAAAATGTAATGGTTGCAGAATAAGAACTAATCTTGAAAAAATAGCGATAGAAAGTGACACGTGTACTTCACATGTGACGTCCATTACTAAAAACAATGTCGGTCCCAATGATATCCCAGACAAATTGGTCATTGTTGTTACCTTTCCACGTGATCAGACTCCTGTAGGCGTCTATGCGGTCTTTCTGCATGTCGTCCCACTGGTACATGTAATAGTCGTGAATCACACGTGCTTTTGACTCCACTTCCGAGTTTACAAGATATCTGGCATGGAAAAAAGGGGTACAACCATTCTTTGAAAACAAGCATTCGTTTTAAAAATGAAATTTGTGTCCACCGATCAGACTAATGAATAAAATAGGTGTGAACCATTCAGAACAAAAACCCCGTAAATATGATAGTGTATCTTTGATCAGATTATGATGACGATTATATTCAATTTACACGTGTTCAACTGGAGTTATCGCCTAATAACTGGAGTTATCGCCTAACAACTTGAGTTATCGCCTAATAACTGGAGTTATCGACTAATATCTGGAGTTATCGCCTAATAGCTGGAGCTATCGCCTAATAACTGGAGTTATCGCCATTACCGGAACTCCCTCAACGGAATCGTCACAGTTGGTACTGCTGATTGTTCGGAATTGTCTGTTGTCAAATATTCTTCCACCATTTTCCGTCCCCTTTCCTTCTTGTTCCATTTTCCCTTCTTGTCCTTTTTTGTCCTCTTATCAAAGCGGTTGTCCTCGAGGATCTGCAGTAAGTTTTCCGGATTCGTCACGTGACCATCGTAAGGATCCACTATGGTACATTATAAACAATAAAGTGTAAGGTGACAGTACCAAAATCGGATCACCTAACCATCATTTTATTCATTTATTGAAAATTCTGATGATGAATTATATTCATTTATGGTTGTATCAAAGGAAGAGTATCGATGGGTGTTCGTACAAAAAAAATCGGGCTCACGTGAAATATTTTAGAACTCTCTGACGTCACCTATCAGCGGTTCCTGTTTTTGCTGTCAGGACCCAAATCGGATCAAGGCTTGAATTTTGCATTATCTTACACTTCAAATGAATATGTTTTGTCAGCATATTAACATTTTATAATGACCTTTGGAATTTATTATGAAATCAAGTCTTTATATAGGGTAAATGTATTCATATAATCCAAAACAGAATGCATAGTCGTCGCACGCGCTATTTTCTAAAAACGTTAACAAAACAACTGACGGAAAAAAGTAACGCATTTTCCCCCATAAGTATAAGATTTCTATTTAATATTATATAGGTCAAGATTGTCTACAAATAGTTGAGGATTCAATAGCGTAAGGTGACAGTACCCAAATTGGATCACCAACCCATCATTCTTTCATTCATTGAACTAACAACCAAGGGCTCACGTATGATAATTTATAGAATACTAGGATGTTTCCGTTTTGTTTGCAATGTCAGTACCCAAAACGGATCACGGCTTGAATTTTGCAATATGTTGCGCTTCAAATGAACATTTATGGTTGAACAAGGCTACCATTCGAAAGATATATCGATACAAAAGAATATCGGAAGCTGAGCAAGATTACCGGATGCGCAAGATTGTATAATGGGTGAGGGAACAAATCGGATCAGTATGGAGAGTTCGGCTCCGGGGTAAGTTTGGCCTTCCCTGATATTTTTGTCTTGATCAAAAGTTTACATCTTTGAAGTTCTGAGGTACTGGCATTTGCAAAAAGATGCAAACACTAATTTGTAACGTGAGAGCGTTTTATAAATATCATGCGTGTGCCCTGGGTGCTTATAACTTCATCAGTACGGGATACAGCACCTAACTCTCAAATGGATCAGAGGCTTTCTTACAGGCAGAATACAGCAAGTTGTCTTGGAGGGAGATACTTCATCAAAAGTCCCGGTAACATCAGGTGTACCCCAGGGCTCGGTCCTCGGCCGAATTTTATTTTTAATTTATATTAATGACTTGCCACTGAACATAACATCAACAGTGCGTCTCCTCGCAGACGACACTGCCATCTACCTAGCGGTAAGTAATCTACAAGATGCATACAGACTCCAAAAAGACCTTGACAGATTGCAGTTATGGGAGAAACAGTGGGATATGGAATTTAACCCGAGCAAGTGCCAGGTAATACACATATCCAGGTCAAAAACGCAAATCCCCACAGAGTATATGATACACGGACAAGTACTTGAAACTAGTCCACATGAAAAATACCTTGGTGTCACCATATCATCAAGCCTGACCTGGAATAAACACATCCAAAATGTAAGTAGTCAAGCCAACAGAACTTTAGGATATATACATAAACATCAAGGTGAAAGACAAAAAGGTAAAGGCTGCAGCGTACACGGCACTGGTTCGCCCTAAATTAGAATATTCTGCCTGTGTCTGGGACCCACACACCCAAGATCAAAGTAAACAACTAGAAATGGTCCAGCGCAGAGCTGGTACAATGTAGGTGGGTGTCTGGCAAATTTTCCCCTCTGGACAGTTTAACAGACATGTTAGGGAGTCTGGGTTGGCAAACATTAGCACACAGAAGATTCAAAAGCAGACTGTGTTTATTTTACAAAATAGTTTACCAGATAGTAGCAATCCAAATGCCACCATATGTAGTCCACCCAACGAGACTTTCAAGAAATGCCCATCCCCTATCTTTTCGGCAAATCCCTACCGATAAGGACTTTTACAATTACTCGTTCTTCCCCCTAACCATAGTCCAATCGAACGCCCTCCCGTTAGGAGCTTGCATCAGTCCATCACTTGACACCTTCAAGAAGGCAATCAGTGATACTCCCTTTGTTAGGCCATAGACTATGTCACCGTGTTTTTAACTTCACCCTCCCCCGTCCCCTTCACCCCTTTCCCCTGTCATCATAGTTCACCTACCCGAATACACTATTTCTGGCTCTGACGACGGCTTATCTAATAAGCTGAAAGTAATAAACTGCAATAAATTGGCCAAGTAACTTCAAGTGGATGTTGTCAAGTCATCTTTTTACTTTATTTCTGGCTCTGTATGGGAAAGAGTTCCTAAAGGTGGCCAGTGTTGATATGACCAACACCGAATCAGAACTCTTTCCTTATACAGCTCAGTTGGAGTGTATGTTACTATGTATTAGGTAAACAATCTTCAAATTATCATTAGCATTCCCTCCTTCACACCCCGACCCAAAGTCAATAATAGATCCGCTATTGTGTACAACAGGAGCTATAAACATCCGTAGAGGTTCCATAAAATATGCCCTTGTATGGGCAGTAGTTCAAGTTCTTTATTTGCTGAAGTTTTACAACTTATGGCAATTACAGATAAGACAAAGACACTCACAAGGACACACTCACACTGACTCTCACACATCATCCTCATCATCAAGAACACTCACACTAACTCGCACACATCATCCTCATCATCTTCATTAACCTCATCTTCATCATCATCATCATCACATCATTACATCATTACAGCATCATCATCATCATCATCATCATCATCATCATCATCTCATCATTACATCATCATCATCACCATATCAGCAACAGCAGCAGCAATCATTCGTCATTCATCATACTCACATTCACACACACGCCAGAACCATTCTTCACCCTCATTCACCCATACAAGACTTATCAATATAATGGTATATTACATAATTTGTATACAATAAACTGATGTACAACATGTATCTTAACATGACCTGTTCTATTGATGACCTCTTGATAAATCTGCTCTACGTTTAAACGCTAGTGCTAAATACTTTCCTAAGTTATGAAGTTCTTTTGTGTTTTCGATTTTGAGTAATTGAACAAATGTATACATACTAGGCATTTTGAAATAATATTTCTTTATGTATTTAGACCGGAGGTCTGAATAGCGATTACATTTAATTATAAAATGAAATTCATCTTCTATATCATTTTCATTACATAAAATACATTTTCTTTCTTCTCTAGGTATATCTCTGTAACGGCCACGTTCAATAGACAGGTCATGCGCACATAAACGTATCTTAGAAATATGTTTTAAATAATTAAGATTAATTGCCTTATGAAGATATGGTTGCAATTTAATACTTTCCACTAAATGCTGATATAATACTCCTTTAGAAGAAGAATGAACTTTCTCTAGACAATCTTGCTGAAAACTATCACATAATCGCTGCTTATATACTTCACTAGAATGATAAATACTATCAGTCACAAACATGTATCCAAGGCCGACTCTTGAAAGATCATGTTTTAAGTTAAGGATCCAGGGGTCTTTATTTTCAACCATATCATCATAACAAGCTTTCAGCACACAGTTATCAGAACGTTGTAATTTAATCCAATACTTAAAAAATTTAACTTTTCTTATTAGCTCTCAATGAGATCTTCCAAATTCAATATAAAAAAATGCAGTGTTTGTAGATTTTCTTAATCCTCATAATGATTTCAAAAATCCAATATGCAATTTTTCTATTTCGGGTGCTTTATGAAATCCCCAAATTTCTGAACCGTATATTAAAATACTATTGACAAACGTGTCAAAAACAGCAAGACGAGATTCTATATTAAAATAATTCTTTTTACATACATTATTTATGGCAAATAGTGCTTTTCGACCTTGTTCTGCAAGGTTTTTTTGTGTTTTTGTAAATTTTCCATTATAATTTAAAGTGAGACCAAGATTATTAAACTCATCAACTACTTCAATCGCATCATTATTATAAAACCAATTTTCTTTTGCTCTTATTAAACCTCCATTTCTAAAGATAACTATTTTTGTTTTATCTACATTTAAAGTTAAGCTCCATTTTCTACAGTTATCTGCTAGTGAATCTAACATTTTCTGTAAGTCTTCTGGTGTTTCCGATAGTATGACCATATCGTCTGCATACATAAGTAAAAATAAATTAATGGTTTGAATTTCTAGTGATAAGCAATTATTTTTTTATAAAATCCATTTCTAAATCATTAACAAATAATGTAAACAACAAGGGAGATAATCTTTCCCCTTGGAATAAACCACAATCACATTTGAAAAATTCAGAAACACCTTTGAATTTAACACAACATTTTACATTGGCATAGAGACTTCTTATTATTTTCAGGAATTTCCCTTCTATACCTTCCTTAATCATTTTATACCAAAGATTTTGTCGACTAACAAAATCAAAAGCTTTTTTATAATCTATAAAACAGCAGTAAAGTCTGTGTCGTTTTTTGAGAGTTCTATTAATTAATGATTGTAGTACGAAAATAGCATCTATCGTGGAAAGGTTTTTTCTAAATCCAAATTGTACATCTGTGATAATATTATGTATTTTATCAACATTAACTAATCTTTCATTTAAAATGGCAGTGAAATTTTTTCGAAGACAACTTACTAATGTTATACCTCTATAATTATCAGTTACATTCACACCCCTTTCTTAAATAGTGGTATAATTGTTCCAATATTCCAATTATGTTGAAAAAATCCAGAACTAAATATTCCATTAAAAAGCAATTTTAGACATGGTGCCAATGCATCTTTACAAGTAACAAACACTTCATTTAACAAACCATCAAGACCACAAGCCTTATTTTGTTTTAAATTAGATATTGCATGTAAAACCTCTCTCTCAGTGATCTCTACATCTAATTCAGAATAAGGGTTCATATAATTACCAGAATCATCATAAGCATTCATATATGCATCAACATCCTCATTACGATCGGGAACAGTAGACGCCAATTTTTTAAAATGTTCAAAAAAATCTTCTCTTTTCAAATCACATTTTCTCGCTTTTGTCTTTCTTTTAAAACTTCTGTAAAATGTTTTCGGGTTATATTTTCTCAAGTAATTCATCATGTTATCCTTCTGGGTCTTATATTCTCTTTTCAGTTTTAATTCTAGCTTCTTGTATACCTTTTTCTTATCGATCAAACTTGTATGATTGTCACGTGTTTTATTCTTATTAAATACTGAGAGAGCAGTTTTGTATTCTTTGAATTTTACTTTAGAAGTTTCTGAAAACCAAGGTTTATCTCCCTTATTATAGTTTTGAGATATATTACAAGATGGAATTTGAACGCAATAAGGTTCAACAATGGTTCTAAGTAATTCAAAAAAATCTGCGACACTTTTATTAACACTATCCAAAGACATAACCATATTTATACATGTATGCATTAGACTATCGGCATTATCACTGACCATTGTTTTAATAAGTTCAAAATGTTCCTGATTCCATCGCGTAGAATAAAACAGCTCATTATCGCCATGTATATTTTCTTCTATAATCTTAATCTCTACCGTAAACACAATAGGCGAATGGTCTGAAAAATGATTGAACTCTCCGCGTTTAAAATTTCCTATAATTTCGAAATTTGACTCATCAACAAGAACATAATCGATTAAACTTGTTCCCAAACTATTATAGAATGTAATACTGCCTTTATCGTCGCCGGGATGTCGCCCATTTACGTTTCTCAAACCACTCGCTTTACATAAATTCAAAAGTTTTCTTCCAATTGTGTTTACAATTTTATCTGTACTTTTTCTTTCAGTAACAATAATATCAGGTAAGTAATTAAAAACATTCGATGAAACATGGCAAGGTAAACTTCCAATATTGTCATTTTCTATAAAATCGCTACTTGTTCCGGTTCTACGATTTAGATCACCAATAACAATCACATTACCGTATTCATTATACTCAGATACATCTTCTTCTATGACTTCAAAAATATCAACGTCATTATTATAGCATAGTAGCAGGTCTAATCTTATAGACATTCTTTAGCACCAAATACTCTCTGATCACACTTTTCTTTTCTCTCTCTCTCTCTCTCCCTTATGCATGCACCAGTCCGCACTTTATCATTTCTATTTCGGTCACCACACAATTCCTCTTAACATGCACAGACGCGCACGCTGCACATAATACTCGAAAGAGGATGTTGCAGAATATCTAGATAGATAGATAGATATTTTCTTTGTAAAAACACCCATCGATATTAATCCTTTGAATTCATATTATAAAATTGTTTTGAAATTATTTAGGTGTATTTGTGAACAATGTACACTTACTTATTCCGTAATTTTCTCTTTCGTCCATGGCAGCCGAAAGGCATACTCTCCCAATAAAATCTTCCAAACTGTCTTCATCAACTTCTATTTTCTTTTCCCCGCGTTGCTGATATTTTTCAGGATTAACTTTGGTTTCATTATCCTCGTAAGGTATAAGTGGTTCTTTCCTGATAACATCACTGCTCAACATGTCATCCACGCCGGGATAACGTAAAAGTCTGTCTCGGCATTTCATTGACTCCTTAAAACGAACCCTATGTCTTTTTTCTCCGAAACGAAATGTATTCGAGTCTCCCATATTGATGTCTAACGTTGGCTTTGTGTGCGCTTTCATCTTGTCGACGTCGTAAAGAGTGCAAGGCAAACTTGAACTTGTTATTCCGTACGACGTCATGGTTGTTATGACGTCACGAGGTACAGTTCGGACGGGAAAAATATCCCCGTCGTTTGTTTTACGCACGATGACGTTCCCTCTCGCCAAAACAAATCAATGTCAATATTTTGCGGAAAGTTTCCATATACCGAATATCTTTCCAACCTCCTTTCTTTATATTTTATTACACATAGGCCTCATACTTGTAATTGAATTTAATATAAGGATTTCCCGAGATGAAAAAAATCAAGAGAAACATTATTTAAAAGACCCTGGTTGAAGTCACAAGTAGTCCAGAGGCAAATGTCTAACCCGCCTCGACCAGCACATCGAAAATGTAATGCTCCAGCCGACACAGCCAATCGAGAGAAATCGGTGCCAGTATATGATATGCAATCTTGAATCACTTTTTTATGACAAATAACACCAACGTAGGCGGAAAAGTGTGGTTTTGCGTCTTTTCGTTGCAAACTATTGGCGGCTGTGATTGAAAGAAACGATTCCTGCCGATCGCCGAGAGCTCAGAAGCACTTCCAACTGTGGCCTAATTAACACTCCCAGTATTCGCAACATTCCGTGTAATTCCGTTGAAGATTTGAATCAAACATCGAGATACGATTCCGAATCATTTGAATAAACACTTAAAAGCCTATAAAACAAAACATTTTACAAAACAAATGGCAAGACTGATCAAATATATCAGATACAAATCACAATGATTCAGAATATAAAGCAACAGTTTTTTTTTATTATCAATCAAGATTTGTTCGAACATAACTGAAATTATTAGATTTAGGTTAATAGCAATGTAAAAGAAAAAAAGAACATTTCAAATGCCCCGTTCTGGCTTCTTTACATTTCGATTTGTCCATCGTGTAAGGTTAGCATGATCAGCATACAATCAAACATTCATCTTCAAAAAACGTTATCATCGTAAAGCTAGGAATGCATGCTTGGTTTTCTATCGTGTATTCTCGTCGAGAGGAATGAACCTCATATAGGAATTGACATTGGTGACTGAAGACATTGCTATATCAGTATCATTATATGAACTAGAATTATTGGTCTATAAAAAAACTTGTATACAGTAACACACATGTAAGCACTTCGAGGGTGTGTCTTTGATGAATAGGGTAATCGTATTGTAACTTCAATAACTTTTATTTCATTTTTTTTCATTTGACATGTTCCATGACATACGAAGTATTAGATTTGCCAATCACATCTTCACAAGATTCCGGTTTCATCGGCCGTCCGTGGTATCTGAGACTAAAGGGAGTTAACTCCCCGATACTACTCGATATATCAGAGAGTTATCTATCGTTGAACTTCATCAGGACGTGCAGCAAGAGATGCAAGCTATTAAAATTTAAGTTAGTGTTGTTCAGTATATACGTGATTTATAATTACATACAGGTTAATTAATTATGTTTTACACCTATACGGTCAAAGATAGCAAACTGTCTAAATGGCAATTCAAAAAGTTTTCAAGCTCTGTATACATGATAATGAGTTTCATTAAATCTATATGTTTCTAAATTCAAATGTATTTAATTATCGCCAACAGAATTGAGAAAGATTAGCGAAGAAGATTTTTTGGTACTAAACAGTAACCTGGGCCTTTACTATTAGACCCTAAAACAAACTCGTGTGTGAGGTATCCTCATCTTTCACTATTGCATGAAGTTTTATCAAAGTACTTAAAAAACGGAGTCGCCTCGAGTATTTAAAACCAATCGCGCTCATACCCATAACATTTCTCCCATGGCCTTGAACTTCAAACCTATGACCGTGTACTTCGATAGGGTTAATATTCCTGCCATGGTCCATCATTGTACACAATGAGATTCGATACACATGCAGCCGCTGTGTTCATTTGTTAAAATTAGATTTGGACCTAAACTAAGGTGTTCAGAGTGTCAGAGTGGGGTTCAGATCCACTTTCGGTAAAAAATATTATAAATTTTCGTATATTATCATCATTGGGGTGGCATTTTTACCGAAAATCGATCTAAACCACCAAAACGTGTAAAATTACTCTAGATAAACACCTGATTAGTTTAGGTCCAAATATAGCTGTAACAAATTATCAGGTCCCTGTGGTGGCTGCAAGAAACTTTCACCTATGAAGTTGAATTTCGATAGGATTCATTCATTTCGCTGAACTGAACACCTCACATTACCCTTGGGTTACGCTATTCTTGACTAAGTATATGAAATCCCGTTTTATTTCTACCCAACAAGAGACTTTTTCGTCTGAAGCGTACATTCAGGTGCTTACATGCAATTATTTCTGGCCAAATTTGTCACGAATTCATAATGGACACCAATCAGCTTAGTATTTCTTCTAATCGGCGTATTTAGCATCAGAAAACGCTATTATAAGGCTGAGCGTCCTTATATATCCAGGCACAAGAGAAAAGGAAATCATTTCGTGTAATAAATTACCAAAAGCCTAAAACCAAGCTAGACATCGGTTAAGACAAAGCGGTTGGTTTTAATTCATTTTATCATTGGTAACGTATCTTGTCCCATCTTTTCTGGTAACTTATCAAGTACTTAGTCAGCTGCATTTTTATATTCCTATCTGTATTCTATTCCTAAACAGTCAACAGGTGTAAATACATATCCATCCTGTACTGATCTATTTAAAGTTTATATGAAATACTTATTCTAAACACATTCTATGTATTTAATCCACATAATATATCACACCTTTTATCAAGTATAAATTTTAAACGCGAGGTTCGTTTTGAATACAAACAGTAATATAAAACCTATTTGGTACTTTGAATCTATAACATTGAAAATAACCCAGTAAGCAACGTGATCATCAATCTATGAACAGCGATTGTACATACCTGTATGATTATTGACGTATTGCCAACATACTGATATTCATGTCTTGTCATCCTCAGTCATCCAGGTGAAAAAAGGGAATACGTCAAACGTTGGTATGTTTATGCATAGATGTACAGTAATTGATGTATACATGTTCAATAATGTAGGATAATTGATGGATGATCATAGATGTACAGTAATTGATGTATACATGGTCAATATTGTAGCATAATTGATGGATGATCATAGATGTACAGTAATTGATGCACACATGGTTAATAATGTAGGATAATTGATGGATGATCATAGATGTACAGTAATTGGTGCACACATGGTTAATAATGTAGGATATTTGATGGATGATCATAGATGTATCCTAATGACACATGATCGTAGATGTAAGGTAACTGGTGGAAGATTGTTGATACATTATTAATAATGTAGGATAATTGATGGATGATCATAGATGTATCCTAATGACACATGATCGTAGATGTATGGTGATAAGTATGATAATGGTGTTTTATCATTGATGTGTGGAAATAGTGCAATATGGTTAATACAATTTAACAAATGTTCATTGACGTATTGTTTTTGATGATATATTATAGACAATGCATATTAATTGATGTATGGCCAATGGTGGAAGATGGTTGATGTATGGTAACTGGTGGAAGATGGTTGATTTAAGGAAACTGGTGGAAGATGGTTGATGTAAGGTAACTGGTGGAAGATGGTTGATGTAAGGTAACTGGTGGAAAATGGTTGATGTAAGGTTACTGGTGGAAGATGGTTGATGTATGTTCAAAGGTGGAAGATGGTTGATGTATGGTAACTGGTGGGAGATGGTTGATGTATGGTAACTGGTGGAAGATAGTTGATGTAAGGTAACTGGTGGAAGATTGTTGATGTAAGGCAACTGGTGGAAGATGGTTGATGTAAGGTAACTGGTGGAAGATGCTTGATGTACGGTCAATGGTGGAAGATGGTTGATGTATGGTAACTGGTGGAAGATAGTTGATGTAAGGTAACTGGTTGAAGATTGTTGATGTAAGGTTACTGGTGGAAGATGGTTGATGTAAGGTAACTGGTACTTTTATAACATTTATGCATGTATGGTGGAAGATGGTTGATTTATGGTTACTGGTGGAAGATAGTTGATGTAAGGTAACTGGTGGAAGATTGTTGATGTAAGGTTACTGGTGGAAGATGGTTGATGTAAGGTAACTGGTGGAAGATGGTTGATGTAAGGTAACTGGTGGAAGAAGGTTGATGTAAGGTAACTGGTGGAAGATGGTTGATGTATGGTAACTGGTGTTCATTGATGCATATATAATGCATGTACCGGCTCGTGACTATTTAAGACTATGGTCGCTGATGTACGAGGACTTATGTTATGTCATTGATGCAGGAAGCATTTGGGTGTAACTTCAAACATAGCTTTGATGTCACAAGTGTTCAATAAGTCACCAAACTGTCAAATAAGTGCAAGAACAAATAATCGCCATATAGGATTCAATTTGTTATCACTCTCATCCAAGTCCAATGTTCATAAAAAATAACAATTCATAAAAAATAACAAAGTATAAAAGTTTGTTTGTGATTTCATTTTAATTGCACTAGCTGCAGGCTATTGGTCAATTTTTTCTTCCGCTCATCTTACAATATTCAACAACTAAGCAACAACCTCCAATCAAGAGAACAAAACGCTAAGTAGATTTTTTTTCTTCTGCTTTTTCATTCTTCTGAAAGTTTTTATTTGATTTTTTTTACATTTGTACACTCTGTTGAAACCAGAGGTAATGTACATTATACACAACAGTGAATGAGAACTCACATTTATTTATTCACACACCTTTGTACAGTAGAACCATAGTATGTACAACATACTCACTTACACACATGCACACATTGAAGTCTCTGTACTAAATCATAGCCAACATTGATGTTTAATGAAAATTGAAACTACTGATGGAACCCTCCAAAGACTCATAATTAACACGGACTTCGGTCCACTTAGTCAATGACTTTATATATATAGCATAACTGGTTAATGATTACTTTCCTTTAAACTAGTTAACATTTCATATACTGAAAAATACCATGTTACGCTTTAATAGCTGGGGGATTTTTTTTAATTTTATTTACGGGGAGGTAACATTATTTCATGTTTCTTTGCTAGAGAAAACAATCCACTAAGCACAATACTTACCAACAAAACTTATTGATTAGTAACACAACTTAATTGATATCCCATTCCAACAAGGAACGAGGAACAATAGCTACAGTACATGCATCTCTTGTCCCCGGAGGGTGGTAGTACATTTCCTATTACTAGATGATGGTAGAATACATTTGTACCATATACCCAAAGCCTATTCAACCAATTAGCGCTTGTAAAAATGCAAAAAAATAAGGGTAGTACGTATACACTGTAATTAGTATTTTCAATCATATGCTTATACAATTGCTACCAATGATTTATTTTCCGTAAATTGTGCGATTAAAATTTAAAGTTCAATCCGTCTTCCCTTTACTTTCATTTCATGATATTTTAGTGTTTTTTATTGTTGAAATTTGATAAATCTGATTTTTAATGCTAGAAAATTCTACTATATTCATGGCTTAAAAAAGACTTGAAGGGTCATAAGTACTAATCAAGTAGATTATGGGATTACTATTTTAATGTTTTTCTTGGCCAATTTTAATTCTGGTTGTAATAAAAACTGCCTATTCTCAAGGCTTTAAATAAAATCTTTTACCATCGATACTGGAAGGTTTTTCACATTTTCAATTTAATTATCATTAAAGAATGAATAAATAACAGAATACAAAATTTATTTTAAAAAAAAGGGCATGGCAAAATGAGTGTGTTTAAGGAAGGGGTATGTCTTATATCTGTACAATAGAACCTTTATACCCCGATTCAGATACATGTAGTACATTAACCATTATTTGTTCACAGAATATGATACATAATTCAAAAACGTTCACATTTCTCCTTGAAGTAGCAGAAACCAAAGATAATTAAGAAAATCATGGAAGCACAAACCTTTTAAAATGAAACTTGCTATCCATAATTTTCAAACATTATTTTTTTAGTGAAGTGCAAGCAACCTTTTTTTTTTTTACTTTTATAACATTTATGCATGTGCTATTGATCAAGATTCTGATAGTACTAAACAAATCTCTAAAATTCAACATGAACTTAAATGATAACTTGCAGAACATGTTGATAACAAATTACTGTGCCATTACTACATTAAAAATAAAACAATTCACATAAGACCAGTAGAACTATTGACAATTATATCCCCTACATAACAAAATCTTAAAACACACCAATCTGAAATGATTCTGATAGCTTAAACATAATAGAGGGAACAAATGCATCATCCAATTATTCAATTCATATATGTATGGCTATATATATATGTATTGCTGCAAGTAGGACTACACAAGATTTAGTATACAAGTATAAACATTGGTGAAAGTGAAAAGCACCTGAAGCAAGGAATGTTAACAAGTTTCTATTGATGTAAAATATGGTAATTCATAACCATTCAATATGAATTTTGAAAGGTCAGTGAAAAGTTATCCCCCCTTGACATGGTGGCCAATTTAACTAGATTAATAGTACATGTGCAATTTACCTGACTTTGCAGGGAAAAAGACATTTTAAAGGTAACATTCTCTGGAGAAAAAAGTTTGAAGTAATGTTAAAAAGATGTTGTTTTTTCTTACTGTATATGAAATTATCAACAAATATGTGCATCACCAGCACTGTAACAAAATTATAGGTATAAAATATGAACTAGAGGCAACGAAATGCTTGCCTTCTTTCAATCTTAAATCATATTTCAAGTGAATCTGTAAGTATTGTGTAACTATCAAACAGAAACAAGGTCAAAATAAGTCAGTTATGATCATGAGTAGCCAAAGGAACATAAATCAGTAGTGATTAACATCAATAAATAATAAAATTCTTGATCAAATCTTAATTGAGAGAAACATGATTTCACAAATTATTGAGCACTGCAAAATTTAAAGAAAAAGCAAAAAAGATAATTGTCCAAATAAATCAAGTTTTCTTGGTTGTTATTATGCAACTATTGAAAAGTCATACATGGAAAAAGGAACCAGGAGATAACAAAAATGCATACATTTCATCGACAGCACTATATATCAAGATCAGAATGGTGGGCAAATTATGGGCAACCTATGTTCAATAGGTACCCTTGACCGTTACACATACATACATTGTTGACAACAGGGTTCATGACCATTCATAAGTCCGGTGCAGATATGACCGATGATCAACAATTACCAAATATAAAACAAGTAAAACTAGTAAAGTCTCTTTGAACACATCACCTCAAAAACAAAATGCAATCATTGTATGTTTTTAATATACTTCCGACTTCTGTTTAATATTTGAAAATGCAAAATTTTAGAAATAATAATTCCAATGCCATTAATTTCAGTACATGATTCTTGTTTCAAACAAGAGGCCCATGGGCCTTAACGGTCACCTGAGTCTACAGTATTTTTTTTTTTTGTTGAAATATGTACCAATTTGAGTAAAAAATAGTATAATGTTAACTTAACTTTGTCAGGACCATGAGCTGATCATTCCTAGACCAATTTTAAGTGAGATCGGCCTATTAGAATTTAGTAGCAAAATAGCGGCCATGGCAGCCAAATTGTATTTCTGATTGACCCGAAAAATAACAACACTTTGTCAGGACCATGAGGCGATCATTCCTACCAACTTTCAGTTCAATCGGTCCAGCAGAACTTGACTTTAAGTTTGAAATAGGTTTTCAAAATGGCGGCCGTGGCGGCCATATTGGATTTCTGATCGACCCGAAAAATAACAACACTTTGTCAGGACCATGAGGCGATCATTCCTACCAACTTTCAGTTCAATCGGTCCAGCAGAACTTGACTTTAAGTTTGAAATAGGTTTTCAAAATGGCGGCCGTGGCGGCCATATTGGATTTCTGATCGACCCGAAAAATAACAACACTTTGTCAGGACCATGAGGCGATCATTCCTACCAACTTTCAGTTCAATCGGTCCAGCAGAACTTGACTTTAAGTTTGAAATAGGTTTTCAAAATGGCGGCCGTGGCGGCCATATTGGATTTCTGATCGACCCGAAAAATAACAACACTTTGTCAGGACCATGAGGCGATCATTCCTACCAACTTTCAGTTCAATCGGCCCAGCAGAACTTGACTTTAAGTTTGAAATGTAAAATGTTAACGGACGACGGATAACGGACGACGGACGACGGACGACGACGGACGAAAACGGATAGCAATAGGTCACTTGAGCTAAAGCTCAGGTGACCTAAAAATGTTATCTTTGCAGTTACCATCAACTTGAATAGCAAATTTTGGTCAAAATAATTTGATTTGAAGCAAAATCTTATAATATCATTGTCACTAAAATAAACACAGTTTTCCAGTGAGCAAATATCCAAAGTATGTATATGATTCATCATACATAAATCATAGTTCCTTGTGGACAAAAACAAGTTGGTAAATTGATATATTTGAACAATAGTAATATCTGACCAGACAATTGCACAACATGCATGGATAATAATCAGAGACCCTTGCAACTTTCAAGCACACCTATTTACAAAATCATGGCATTCAGTCAAAAGCTTTCTACTAGTCATTCAGACAGAAGAAATTTTGACCCAAGCAAAATCCATGATGGTCTCAACCTTCTTCCTCCTTCAAAATATTTCATAGCACTTCAGATATTGTGGATTTTAATTGATCAATTCCCTTTGCTTCTCACTCCGACTTCACAGTGATCTTAGTCCGTTCCGACTAGATCTGTAAGGTTAGTTTCTCTTTGCCTTGTGTATATATATATATATATATGTATCTGTGTTTATGGGACATGTTTGTGTAGATATATAGAGTAGAACAGTCAGCACTAATGAGTTCTGTAACAATAGGATTTACTAATACCTTAGCTATACATTACAACAGCAATGACTTGCAGTGTCCCATCTCTTGATCTTGCCGAATAATAACACAGTAAATCAGAATGATTACACTCACTATCTTTCGCCTTTTCATGAAATATACAGTACTTACTTACAATAAGCATTGCATATTCAAATCAAATCAGTCCCAAAGTATCTTCCAAACCTGGAGGATTACAATGACATTCCACCCATATGCATAGGCCTCGGTCTTCCTTTCCACAGAGATTCTAGGCGTTCTCTTAAGACCTCTGGTCCTTCGGCAGAGATTCTGGGTCATATCCAAAGGCCTACAGTTCTTTTTCGGAGATTCTAGGTTGTCTCCATGGCCAGTCCATTTATGAGTGGACATAGTCATCAGCCTTGCTTGGATATAAAGACTAAGACTGGTTAATGGGGCTACTCCAGTTTGGTACCTTGGCTAGATCGTCGTTGGGAGGCCAGGGGTGATTTTATGGCGATTCATGCCCAGCATTATGTTGGGATCATCTCACCGTTTCAGTTTGAGGATGACAGACTGCTTCAAAGGAACCTTCTCTTTATCTTTATCTTTATCTTTATCCCCATTGAGCATCCATTCTGGGTCATTCGGATCTTCCCCAACAACTGACCCTGATGAAGTACTTGGGAGCGGGGAGCATGGATGACTGCTTCCCGACATAGAATCTTCTTGCTGGGGATGGTGGCTAGTGCTGCTGTACTCGCTCATAAGAGATATGCGTGCGCTGGAGATTCGAGCACGACGTACATGGACAGCTGGAGGCTGAACCGTCTTCATTTGTTCATAATCATCTTCTGTTAAAGGGAAAGTCCTATCTGGCCATGGATCAACAGAGAAAATCTCGACCATCTCATATAACTGAGAATCTCGGCTGTTTTCATCCATACTGGCACTCATACTGAGGCGCCGAGAGGAAGCTGAACTACTCCGCCTCCTGAATGCCTCGTCTTTGAATGCCTGAGCCTGTGCCTGCGGGGTTGGAGAGGGGCTGGTGGAGAGAGGACTCATCAATGGAAGGATGGGCTCATTTACACTTATATCCATTGGGATATCGTCAGCCATGGCAGGGGTGCGTGGCTGATCCTCTCTTGAGCCTCGTTGTCTCCGACTTGGGTATTGGATGAATGATGTAAACCTCTTCTTCTCCTGTACTTCACAGATCTTGTGTCTGTCGGCAAATGATTCATCCGATAAATCCTCCACCTAAATGGAGAGGATAGTAATTAGACGTTATTCAGAGCTCAGTAACAAAGCCCAGGTACCTTTTTTTTCCGAGATGTAATTGTTGAAGTTTGACAGAGAATATTATTATTTATGCTATTTTTTTTTAACTCAAATTAAAGCCTGTTTTTTTTAATGGAAATCTCTTTTATAAGCTTAACTCACAAGGTCTCATACATGACAGATAAATTGAGTTTTGTCAGATTTGCTCTTGAAATCCATAGATAAATGAGAGGTGAACATCAATAAATGAAATGTAATATCCCATATATAACCTTATGGAGAGAGGATGACAAAGGAAATGTCTGTCCAGTATAAACCATTTAAATCACGGCTGCTGTTTACTGGGAAACTTTTGCTGCAGTTTAATTTTCGCCTTTTTCATCTACATAATGATTGTATAACAGCAAATTAAATGTAAAGGACAAAAATTGATTTCATAGACATAGGGCAAAGGTTTGACTAGGCGAAAAATTCCTAGTAGACAGTATTTATAAGGAAGCCTTGTAAGATATGAAAAGAATGAAAATATGTAACACAATTCCTTACATCATTGAAACACTTATGGACTTGGCATTTGATCACTGTTTTTGTACACTTCCATATAAAAATATATCATTCATAAAGTTGTCAAAAAAATGAAAAATAAAATGCTCAAGAACTGAAAAATATGGACAAATAGAAGTATGATCACATAGGTATACGATACAAAAATATTCATAGGAATTAAGATTACAAAGTAGGTAAACCAGAGATGGTGTCAAAGACACCAAAGGCTCGCCTGTTTAAAATTTTATAGTATTTAAACATTTGTTTGTAAAAATGTTAAAAGTTCAAAACAGGTCAAAAGTCCTAAAATAAAAAAGAAATTATTTTTTAATTTGAACTTCACTTAATCAATAGTATACCCCACAGGAACCTTCATACCAGATATCAGCATTGTAGTACACATATTAAATGACTGACAAGCTTCTAAATAACTTGCATGTAAAACTTTAACGTCGATGTGCTTCAAAAAATGTAAGTACAAAAATGGTCGAAAATTTCCCAAAATTTGAAATTATTTATCAATTTTCACTACAATACATCAATAGTATACCCCACAGGAACCTCCATGCCTAATATCAGCATCCTAGTATACAAATTTAATGAATGACAAGCGTCTTAATAACTTGCTGGTAAAACTTTAACTTTGAAGTGCTTAAAAACAAAACTTAAGTACAAAACATGTAAAAAAGATCAAATTTTCAAATCATCTTTTAATTTTCACTTCATCAATAGTATACCCCACAGGAGTTCTTCGAAGAGGCCAGCTAAAAAAGAAGTCCTAAAAAGTTTGGATATTTGGGACAAAGCAAAAAACAAATATTACCTCCCTTTGACCATATGATCATAATTTCTCTACAGTGTGCCCAATAATATTATGTATCAAGAAAATAGTTGCATAAGTGACTGTTTATGTATTTTAACATCCACAGGGATATTTTTTTATAAATGTTTCCTTTCTCCAGTTAATAAACCTACTAAACTTTAAATAGAATCTTAATCATCTATGAAACCTACCTTTAAATAGAATCTTAATCATCTATGACAAAGAAATAACCCTCATCAGCAAGCTTTAAAAGACATTTACTTTTCATTTGAAAACCAGTGAATCTGAAGTTAAATGTTTAGCACCTCCCTGAAACTCACTTTTGCAACAAATTATTTCCCTTAGTATGCAAAATATTTCAATACCACACTGGACGTGAATAGAATCGCCTATTTTCTGACATGAATATCCTAAATGTCAAACAGTTTACCTCTTCTTCTTCCTCCTCCTCCTCCTCCCCGTCCTGTTCTTTAGGAACAGCTACATCTCCTGGACTCTCGGGTCTTTCTTGCTCTGTTTCCATCTTCTCTTTGATTGCATTTGTTTCCTCTTCTTCCTCCTCTTGAACTTCCCCATCATCCTTGGTCAGGTCTCTCCATCTGCCATTGCAATCAGTGACAATTATACTTTGAAAATTATTATCAATACTCTCATTCTTCTTCTTTGGAAATAACAAGTAAAACTTCTTTATTAAATTACCACAGAATACTTTAAAACGAAATTTTTTAATTTCAATAAAATATTTCATGAACTTGTCACTTTCAATGTGTTAGTAGTAACAACCATGCAGATTTAAAATCAGAAATATGTAACTCTTGTTATAAGAAAAGTCTTCTTTTTTCCCTGATTTTTTTTTTTTGAATCAGTTCTGCGTTATATCATGATGTGTCAAAACAGAACAAGTCTTACTTAGGTGTTACAATCTCCTTGTACTGGAGTTTCTCCACACGAGTAGAAGCAGCCATACTGTAGGGGATGACAATGTTATTGATGTCATACTCGCTCTCCCGTCGACGTCGCCACTGAGCCTCTTTCATCTCTTTTAGGGTGGAGGACGGTGCACTTGATGAGAGTGTTCCTCCTTCCTTATTGAGTGGAGAACTCAGTAAATTCTTGCCATCCATCCCAGAATAGCCATCAGTATAGGATAGAGACAGGTTGTTGTCTTGTTTCAGTGCTACAATAAAGAACCAAGTAATGTAAAGGTCAACCATAGTACCATTTAACCTTGTTATGTCATGATGTCACTATATATATAAAACACAAATGGGGAGGAAAACTGGGAATTCAAGATATACATTCGAAGTAATTATTTTAAAAGTATTGCCCATATTGATACTATTCAATCACACAATGATCTCTAATTATATTCTCTTTCACTGTTAAACAGCATTAAGAAGTAGATTTAGTTTACAATTCAACCATACCCATAGCTAGCTGAGCCACTCTTCGTCGCTTCATGTCAGAACGTGCCAGTCGTCTTTCTTTTGCACTCTTTTTCGGTGTCATGGACAATCCTGCAGATCTAGACTTGGTGGGTGTTCTTCTCTCATATTTGTTACGTAGTTCTAAAAGAAACATTGAATGTTTGAATTTCAGTTCTGTTAGAAGACGAAATACAAAGTTTCTACAGTTTCAGAAACATCAAGTAAAGCACCATGATTTTATAACTTTTGTGTATTTTTATAGTGCAATATAATCCTTCATTATGTTATTTAAATAAAAGTTTTAAATTGGTACAAAAAGGGTTATTTTTAAGTGTGCAACAATGTCTGCATGTGCTAGGTTTAGCGTCCCAAGGTGTTAAATATATTAGTTTAATATGCTTTCTACAAACTATTTATGACATTGTGTCAAAAGTGACAGCATATATTTGTGTTGTTCCTTGGTGTCATATCAGACTTTTTTTAAAGTAGAATTAGAATTCAGAATATTGTCTCTCTAGAAAACAATGTGACAGACAAAGTGTCCTTCCAGTAGGTAGGGAAATATTGACATCAGGCCAAACAAACTTGTTGAAATTCTGGCTGTGATCAAGGCTCAAAATACCCCTGCCCTCCTGGCTTTATTGTAAAATTCTAACTTCAGCTAATAGTGACTTTGACCTTTGGCCCATCATGTCCATAATCAGCCTTGCCAAAGGCATTCAAGTTAACATACCTGTGAAATTTCATCTGAACCTATCGAGGAATATGGCCGAAAGGCAACACTAAGGATTCCTACAGTCAAATCTATTTTTACTAATAGTGACCTTGACCTCTGACCAATAAATTGTCCTGCCATATATACAGATGAAACAAAAGTAGATGTTTTTTGTTGGTATGGTACATCTTCACTACATACACCAAAATATTTACCTAATGGCAAAATTTGCTCACCAAATCTTCAGAATAAGGGCAGAATTGCATTGAATAGCACATTCAAAATCACAAGCAGCCTTGTTCAAAGCTGTTGTTTTATTAGAATATGATGCCAAATGTTCAGCTTTAAACTCCCATATTTCTTTGATCAAGTTTCATTTCTTCATTGTAGCCATTTTGAAAAAATAATATGTAGTAAATTAAGTGATACTCTCATTAAATACCATATATTTATTACATTTTTGCCAGTGAAATATCGGATTCTATCAACTTGATAAAACTGATATCTTTCACACTGTGACAAATATGAAATGTAATATTTTCACAGTGTGAAAATATAACTTTTTGGTATTGACCAATCATAACGGTATCTTCTATTCGCTCCATTCAAAGGCAAAGATTTTTGGTTCAGATTCAGATGATCGGTTTTGCCCTTTCAGATTCTATAAAATAGGTTATTTCTAAAAAAATCAGGTTGGTAAGTATGGATTATGAGAAGTTCTTTTTACACAACCAATAACATTTTCCTATGTGACGTTATACAAATATATTCACTTTTTCTTAGTACTCCTGAAAAATGTTGGTATTCTACCATACTTGTGAAATATGTATTCAAGAAGAAATTATTAAATACTATTTATATACTGAAAAAGTGAAATTATCCTGAAACAAGGATAAGGCTGCATAAACCTAGAGGCCCTAAACAAACAACCAGAGGTTTGATCGGGTTTCTTTTGCATGAATTGACAGTCAATGTCCCCCTTCTTTCACAGGAATACTCTCCAGCCACTTGATTAGTATAGGCTGATCTTTATTATTGACTTACTAGCAGAAGAAAGAAGAGCAGCGGCAGCACCCTTGGCATACTTGGTCTTCTTGTTGACACGCTGTTGGCTCATCAACTTTTGTCGCCTGGTTTGCAAGGGAAAAATACTGTCAATCAATATGTTGGATTTCAGAATCAAAATGTTACAAATTTTGTGAAAGGTAGTACATTTGTATTTTTTAGTTTTATGATATGTTCTACACTTTGTAAATGAATAACACAGGAAGATTCTTCTACAATTTTCTTTTCAGGCCACTTGAAAAATTACATTCTAATAGTTTCTTAAAGAGTATACCCTAATTTTGCATAGTTGTTCACTCGACCAGTTTAAGTCCTGGTTCACATGTTATCATATAGCTAGGAAAGTTTCTCTGGTAGTAAGATATTTCAGCAAATACTGAAGGTGCAATAATGAAATGATACAAGTAAGCTATCTAAGAAGACCTTACTTTTTTAGAAAAAGCAAAATCAAAATTTGAAAGCAAATGTAACTTCTATACAATTTGAGTGTTCAATGTTGATTGTAAACATGATTAATACCGTTTATATTCTTCCAGAAATATAGAACATTAGAGGTACAAATGCATAGATTTCTAATAGAACATATTTTGGTAAAACATAAACATTCAATATTAATTACACACATTGAGTGCAATAAACTTGGTCAATCAGTGTCAGTTACGATAGACTGAGTTTCTTTTACTAATACTTTATCAAATATATGTCCAAGGGGTATTGATTGAAAATATTACATGTACTTAGTTTGAACCTAAAATTCTTAAGTTTGAAATGTTAGCAAAGATAAAAAAAAAAAAATGAAAATATAAAAACCCTTTCCTTATTGGCGCTAGTAATCTTATCTACACATTAATATACCAAACAGTATGGTATTATGTAGGTGGATAATGTCTTCACCCATTTGATTGAAATGTATATAATTGTTGGTGAGTAAAGGTACACATTTTGAACCTAATTAGGTCAGAATGTTTAAGACAGATCAACAAAATGTTAAAAATTGGACAGCTTTATTATGGACCTTCCAATGCAATTAACGGTCAACTACAACTTGCCTTCTCTCAGTTGTCAAAGCGGTCAAATATAACACCTTCTGTCAGTTGTTAAAGCGGTCAAATATAACACCTTCTTTCATATGTCAAAACAGTCAAATATAACTCACCTTCTCTCTGTTGCCAAAGCCTTTGCACTTTTCGGTGGTGGTTTGTTCTGCCATTCTCCGCTCTTCAGAAGTGCCTCAAAGTGAATAGGAAGTGGAATTTCTGTAAAAACACAAAATAAAATCACCAGGATTATCTTTTGATCGAGAAATAAATCATTATCAGTAATTGTGATTTTGAATAAAAGTATATTACAAAAACTTCTAGACTGGAATAAAACAGTCTTGTACCAATTTAAACTACAATCATCTTGACAAGACCTTATCCTCCCCTTGGGACAACAAATGCTGTAGGATGACTTGTGTTTGTGATGTTGAGGGAGCAGAATTTGAAGTGCTAAGGGCAAGAACTCTTTTTATCAAATAGTAACTTCCTTAAATTTCTTTATTCAAATCTACACATCATGTATTTTTATTTGGCTAAATGACAATTGTACACAACAAATAGTGTAGGAGTAGTTGCACTTCAAATGTTTTGGAAAGCCAGAAGTTATTTCTATATACAACCCAACAATGCATATGTGAGTAAAAATACAGGTACATTTACCAGAAAGCCTACAGGTCAGACTGTCTCTTTTAATAATTACATTGACAAAGCATATTTTTATTGAGTATGACATGAAATTTCCTGACATTATATAACTATACTGTTAAAGTATTGTTTCCATGCGTCCTTATACAAATTACAATGTACAAATAAATTATGAGTTAAGGAAAAATTATTGACTACAGTATACATAAAGAAGCCCGACTTGAAATTTGACCACATGAACCTGATACTCTCAGCTATATACTGATATCTAGACTACTAATATACAATTATCTAATTAATGTTACAAGTAAAGTGATACATTCCAATGCTTATAAGAAATATGTAAGATTTATACTGAAGCATAGCATATATACATGTATTTCTACAAGTTTAAAGCAATCCAGTAGTAAACCAACTATTCATTATTAAAACAGCTGGAAATGCCATAAATTATCATGTCTGCATGATTCATACAGACGACTGCAGGTTTGTCATTACATAAAGCCATAGGTTAACCATAGTATTTCATAATGCGAAATTGTGAAATACTAAAGACATCAATTAAAGCTCCACTTGTACCTAATTTTACTGTGTTGTACGTATACCACTGGAGACATTTTGTTTTTCTCCTTTCCTTTTTACAGATTAATTATATTTTAACAGTATTTGACATTCTTTATTCATCCTTGTATATCATGAACAACCTGAATCTTTGGAAGTATTTTAATCTAGTCTACATGTATTCCAGACATACAAATCGAGATTTACTTGCACAATGTACAAGAGTAGCACATGCTCTGTACTAGTATTATCGGCATGTATGGCCTTTCAAATTCTGTATGATTCACCTCATTATCTGTACTACATGTCTACTCTAACTAGAGAACCCACTAACCCTCAACTTCATAGTGGAATAGTCTCATCATTGTTAAAGCTCAGAATGTGGTCGGAGGGGAGAATCATATCCTAGGCTTATATTTCCTGATTATAGTTTCTTCAACCCGTTACCTAATACCATTGCTCTACATACTTAATACTATACCATTGCTCTACATACTTAATACTATAAGTAGTGATACACATTCACACATGTGTGATGTGTAGTAAAAAAAAATAATTAAAAAATGGTTCCCATTAAATAACTTCATGTTTGTTACTATAGTCTAGACACAATGGACAATTTCATCATACTCATTTTCCCTCGACTAACATGGTTAGTTTCAGTCATCAGCATTGCATTGCAGTACCAGTACTGTATGTACATATTTCAAGTATATGGAATATATTCAATAATGGAACAAAATTGAGAGAAAATGCATGTGCTACTTTGTAAATCACTGAAGCGCAGTCCTGACAAGGGATCTTAAAAAATTGCCTATTTCCAAAACATTTGTCATTCCTCCTGACATCATGATGGGAAATATTACACCACATTGGAGTCTTAATTTGTGTAAAGTGAAACACCTGTACACATTTGTTTGGTCCTTAAACCAGGGAAGTAAGTTACCTGATACACCAACTGAACATAACCTCTTCAACAAAGATCACTCATGCGTAAACACACATTGGTATCATATATGTGTCAATAAGGTGCGCCCTTCATGATCACATGACCAACACATTAAAGTTGAAGGTTGTCATGAAACAGTAAACAAATTCTTTGTGAATTATAGTAGAGCAGTCAATTGACTTTAAATGTTTGTAGGATTTATCTTTGTCATCAGTCATGGACTATGTACAACATATCTTAATAGATCATCGATTATATTTCTTCACATGATTACCTCATTTGTATATAAAAAAAGATTTCAAGTGTCAACAGATTTCACAATTTAATTCCTAGAAGAAACCTATATATGGCTATCACAACTTAATAAAATATGAAGAAATCTAGGCATGCTTTCAAAGTGCATTTGTCTTAGAAGTCTTGCTAATGCTTTTCAAAGAATATGGCTTTTGCCAATAAGGTCTTTCAAGAACAAGACGAGTCCTGACATTTTATTGAAACGTACAAGAATATATGACTCAATTTCAGGCCAATTCCAAGCATTCAATATAAAAAGGAAAAAATATATGATGCATACTTGTACTCTTATATTACTGTTCTTATTCATTCAAATTATTCATTCCTTCTTCCTCATCGAGAAACCCTGTTTAAAATCTGCAAGGCCTATTGATATGACTCTTATAATCAATCAAATGACTAGACCATAACACTCTAATTGTAACTGAAGACTGCAGATTCTAACTTTTTGACAGCCACCAAGTAAAGCTTGCCCTTTGTTTTAATCTAAATGACTAGTTGTGCTTTCAACTTACAAACAAATATTCAAGGCAGATATCATTGTGTAAGAAATAGGCCACCATCAATAGTATACACAGTACAATGAAAATGTGTCCTATTACACTGCCACTGGTGGCAACAGAGCATGTTGAAATATCAATTAGTAAGTAATTAATTAGGTCAAAGGACTTTCCCACCATTACAACATCACTGGATACTGGGCAATCATGTACATGTATATATAGCAAAGAAAGGCTAGTTATGTAGCTACACTACAGGATAGCATCTGGTAATTCTATAGATTACAAAATCAATGCCGAGCTGATAACCAGTAGCACCAGCTGTCTATATTCCATTATCACTGACCAATTTGTGTGTTCACATGATCAGCAATTAGCATTGCAACCTGTTGGTAAAGAGATGCATCACTCAGTGTGCTACTGTCCCCAAGACAGCAATTCCAAAGCTTGCTATACACCTACAAATGTAGCATCACATAGCAGCCTTTTCTTTCTGGAAAACGTATCTAATCTTGAGTCTCGCATCCAAATTCTGCATGTACACAAGTATCATGGTATTTAACGAATAAGAAAACTCTAAAATCATTCATAGGATTCCTGTCTGCTGCATATGTGTACAATGGCGACTGTTGTTGTCATCACCATTTCTGGTGCTCTATTATAGTTCATTTTCAATTTTATTTGGACAGATTTAATCTAGGGAGAGAAAAGAAAATCATTTCTTCTTTGAATTATCAAAATTTGAACATTTCCTTTTTAATCTTTTTCAGAATTCTGATTTCTATCAAACATTTATCAGATTTTGAATCTCTTAAATTGTTGAAGTATAGTCATGTCGTGTCAAGAAAGTATGCCGTATAAAATTTTGTATTTATAACTTTAAACTGTATGAAGTGAAAACCACCATTTAAAATATGCAAAAATTCCTCTCAATCATGTGAAAAAAAGGTAGATTCTCCCAATTAAATGTAAAGAGCTGGTATGACGGACATTTTCATCCTGAGAATATAAAACATTCAAGTGTCCTCCATTGAAAAATGCATATATATATATATTTGTCACCTTGGTATAAAACATTTGTTTTCAACCGAATATTGAATCTAATTATGTACACTCATAACAAAAAGCAAGGGGTGTTCTTTGAGTATTGATCCTAACACATCACCTTGATTTGTAATTGGGGTTGTTATTGATCCTTAACACCTACACATACTATTACCTTGATAACAAGCTGGGTCATACCTTCTCAGTATTGATTCTATTATTTTGATATAAAACGGGCTGTCTCCTAAGTATTGATCGTAATCATGTATAAAGTACTATCACCTTGATATAAAACAAAGGTTGTCTATTGAGCCTATGTTCAATGCTAAAATCTGGATATAAAATAGGGGTTGACCTCTAGTACTGATCCTTATATATATATATGACAATACAATCCCCTTGACATAAAACAGGGGTTGATTTTTGAGCACCAATCCTAACTGTGCGCTAAGACCTTGATATAGAACAGGGGTTGTCTATCGACCCTATGTTCAATGCTAACATTGAATATACAATAGGGGTTGACCTCTAGTACTGATCCTTCTATATATATATATATGACAATACAATCCCCTTGACATAAAACAGGGGTTGATTTTTGAGCACCAATCCTAACTGCACACTTAAAGTATTTCACCTTGATATATAAAACAGGGGTACTTCCTTTGAGTATTGATCCTAATTGGTAACCATACATATCACTTAGACAGCTTCAATACCAGACCTGCACTGTACCATTTAACACAAGTTACTCTGTGTAGTGTGTAGTATGTGTGTGATACGTTCTTTGTCTGGATATGAGGGGGAACAATGCTTCCTTCCTTTGGGATAATCAATTCTTCATGGGACAGGAATTATTTATCAACTCGTAGAATGCCGTAATGATGTGCATACTCTGGTCCAATACTTGTATATTGATTGGCTGCCTCCAAAAATATCAGCAAACAATTTGAAGAAGTTTCATTTATGTCAGTGTCAACTTGCATATGGCATCAATATTTGTTTGAAAAAGTTAAATATGATGCTTTGATGATCCAGTTTGCTTAAAAAGTGTTAAGGAATATGCATTTCAATTTTATTTGACTGTATATAATTGTATGGAACTTGCCTAACTGAAATACAAATAAAAATGAGAATGACCATTACTGGCATTAGGTTTAAAATGCAAGTTATCTTTTCTGCATAATTACTAACTTCTGTGGCTTCTATATATATATATATTG